AAACACATGCTAACTCTGAAGACGTGTTCAATAACAGTAGAAATCAAACACTTGTCAGTTTTTTTCTTTGAATCGACTGCTCAGYCTTCTAACATGAAGAAGTTCCGTGTTTTATAAACATTTATAAAAGTCTTCATKTTCCAGCGTCATGAATCGTAAATCTTTGCCAGGTGAAGAGCATCATAGGTAGACGTGTCAACGTTTGGTGTGTTTTGGAGGAAGAACTCCCATTGGTTCCTCTGCTGTAGACCTGATGGAGGGACCGCCTCCTGAAGGACCACTGACTGCAGGTGGTCCTGGGAGGCGACACAACGCTGCAGGTATGGCCCAGGTGAAGGCGGCAGGTGACCTGAGCAGGAGCCCTAAGGATTACAGCCAGCTTTATTCTGACATGGCCACTGTCAGCTCAAGTGCCGGTGAGTGGAACCAGAAATGTTCGACCCTGTTTACAGACAGGTCATCTATTCATGCTTTATTCATACAGATAAATTACTCTGAWACACTCCTAATATACCATAGTACCACACTATAATACATATTGATGCACTGTAAGAGACWATTGTAATGAATCRTGATACAACAGAGTACACYATAGTACACTGCAGTACACCATAGTAAGTAAGTAAGTAAACTTTATTGATACAACAGCTTTCACAGGTCAGAAACCACAAAGAGCTTTACCAGGAGACAAAAACACAAGAGATAAAACAAAACATACATGTGATAAAAAATATCACGGTGGAAAAAAATGATTAAAAAATTGTATCCTGCAGTACACCATAGTACACTGCAGTACACTGCAGTACACTGCAGTACACCATAGTACACTGCAGTACACCATAGTATACTGTAGTACACCATAGTATACTGTAGTACATTGTAGTCCGGCCACAATGAGGAGATATTTTAAACCAAATTTAATCCCAATAAAATAAAGTTTTTCATGTGACCTTATTACTAAATAAAATGTAAAAACAAATATTTATGTTAACAAACTGGTCTAGTTGAGTAAAGTTGGTGTTTTGTCAGTTTTTCCTCAGAGCAGTGAACACTTTGACAGATGTTAGACCACGTTAGACCATGTTAGACCATGTTAGACCACGTTAGACCACGTTAGACCACGTTAGACCATGGTAGACCATGTTAGACCATGTTAGACCATGTTAGACCACGTTAGACCATGTTAGACCATGTTAGACCATGTTAAACCATGTTAGGCCATGTTAGACCATGTTAGACCATGGTAGACCATGTTAGACCATGGTAGACCATGTTAGACCATGTTAGACCATGCCATGTTAGACCATGGTAGACCATGTTAGACCATGTTAGACCATATTAGACCAGGTTAGACCACGTTAGACCATGTTAGACCATGGTAGACCATGTTAGACCATGCCATGTTAGACCATGTTAGACCATGTTAGACCATGTTAGACTATGTTAGACCATGGTAGACCATGTTAGACCATGTTAGACCATGGTAGACCATGGTAGACCATGTTAGACCATGCCATGTTAGACCATGTTAGACCATGTTAGACCATGTTAGACCATGGTAGACCATGTTAGACCATGCCATGTTAGTGGTTGTGGAACACTCTGGTGCAGTCTATTTCCTGGCAGTTTTTCTCACGGCCTTGTGTTCGGCAGCTAAAGCTCGGGGCTCTCAGGTTGCCTGGTGGGACTGGGAACCAGAGAGTCCTGGTAATCCCTCCTTTTCTCTAAAGCACGGCTGGATTGAAGTGAAGTCAGCGCAGCTTGTTTGTCCCGGAGCTCGAGGATTGTCTTCTTAAAGGAATGAGTTAATGAAACCTGACTGTTGTTTCCTCCTGAGAACAGATGTGGGAGAGTCGGGCAGGAAGTCCTGTCAGACCTCCATGATCGTGGGTCTGAACAGGCGGACCAGGACCTACCCCTCCCCGGCCCGCAGACGCCACCGCACCACCTTCAGCCACAAGCAGCTGGAGCAGCTGGAGGTGGCCTTTGGTCAGAACCAGTACCCTGACATCTACTACAGGGAGGAACTGGCCCGGGTCACCAAACTCAACGAGGCTCGCATCCAGGTGAGACTTAGAGGGTTCYTCTCAACAGCTGGGAGAAAAACTTTATCAAACTAAAGTCCACCTCCTTCAGATCCAGACCTTCAGGACCTGATCAAACTGATCTGGACTTTACCAGGTTCTAAAGAGATTCTGATCTGATCTTTAATGAACAAAAGGACCAGAACCCACAGAGTTCTGTTGCAGGAGGTTCTGTTTCGTAAATGACTTGATGGAATCACTTGGTTCTGTTCTGTGGATCCGGGTCCTGTAGAACCTGGTAAAGACCTGATGTGGACTCTCTTTTCCTGGAACTGTTTGTTTTGGGTCAGATGTAAACCCAGTCCTCCTCCGGCAGGTTTGGTTCCAGAACAGACGAGCGAAACAGCGGAAGCAGGACCGCCTGTCCCAGAAGACGGTCCCGGTGGGTGCCATGCCGGGTCACAGGGCTCTGCTGGGGGGGGTGCACGTCCAACCGTCCGCTGTGACCCCACAGTACTACCCCCAGCCCCTGGCCCACATCCCCCGCTTCCCCTCCATGCTGCCGTCCGGACCGTACCCCCACCACCCGGGCCCGGTCAGCCGCTGCCCCTGTCCCAGCGTGGCCCCCCAGCCGACCCCCCAGCGCCAGCACGACAACTGGTACGGTCCACTGAGGACGCCCCCCATGTTCTCTCTGGAACCGGCCTCCCACTGGAGCTAAGAAGGAACCAGGAAGTGTTTTAATCAGATTTTAGGCTGTGTCTCAATCCATGGGCTGGGTCAGGACCCAGCCCATGGATTGAGACACAGCCTTAGTTTCTGTGGAGCTGTCRGGTTCTGTTCAGATAATTAAAGGTTCTTAAAGTCACAGTGTGCTCATTACTGACATCTGGTGGTGAGAAAACAAACAGCAGCTAACAAAACCTCTGCTTTATTCCTCCTTATTAGATGTAGATCAGTCAAAAATCAGCTTGGACTTGTTCTAAGATCATTTTAAACTAAACTATAGAAATATTTACACACTTAAATAAAAGACTTATTAAATATTTGATTCTTGTTTGAACTTCCTTTCATGACGAGCAACCTAACCGCGGGCCACCAGGGGGCGCTCAGCCTCAGAGCTGCTGAATGATGACCCACAGCACTAATATTTTACTAACAGGTCAGGGTTTGTTTCAGCACTGGACCAATCAGAGCTCGTTTCCTCCAGAGAGGAGTGCCAGCTCTGTCAGTTTAAAGGAACAGTTTGGCCATTTTAAAAAGGAGTTCTGTGAAAAAAACCATGAATTAATGAGCTCACTTAGGAGAAATAAAGTTTAAATGTGACACAACTGAAGAGCTAAAGGCTAGTCTGAACACAAAAACGTCTTAAACAGAGTAAATAAGTGAACTGTAGCTTCGTCTTTCAAACAGGAGAAAAATAACTTGTTCAAAAACCAACAAATATTTGATGTTTGATGTGATTTAATGAATTTAATCAATCAGCTTAACATTTGCACATTTTAAATATTTGTATTTAAACAACCAGAACTGATTCAAGAATGAAACTCTACAGTATAAATATATTTTTACTGAATGAAAAACTAAACAAAAACTTGACCTGAAAGATTTACTAAAAGGCAACAACACCTGAAGGTAACGCGTTATGTTCATGTGCTGATGGACGAGTCTGTCACTGTGCTTCCAGGGTTAGCCTAGCCTAGCCTAGCCTAGCTTAGCTTAGCTTATTCAGAGATTCTTCAGAGCAGCTCTGTTTACATTCTCAGACAGCTTTAAAGGGACATTTTGAACATTCTGAAGTGGGCCTTTATGGTTCTATGATAAAGTATAAATGCTTAATATCTTACCTGTTGCAGATAACTTATCACGCTGATGAGCTAAAGGCTAGTCAGAACACCAGTTTCAATTCAGAGTTCGTTTCAACGTTCCATCAGTTTTCTTCGGTACATATTGACCCAGAAGACAGAGATAAACTTTAATCAGGGCTGCGTTCTGACCAGCCATCAGCTCATCAGTCCCATCAGAATGAACCCGTTTCTCCAAACTGAGGTGGTTAAACAGCCACCTGCAACAGGTAAGATACTGATCACCTGACACCATGCAGTGTTGGTGATCCGCATTTCTTTACAGTTCCTATGTTTTCACCCAGAACACCACTTCAAAGCAGCTGAACCCCTTTAATCCATTCATCTTGTCCTTAATTACAGCGACAGAATTGGCTCATTGAGTCATTTTCCAACCATGAAGGTGAGGTTGTTGCTTGTTGCCGTGACAACATGTTTGTTTCTTCTCCTCAACAAAACAGAACAACAAAAAGATTCATTTGGTCCGAAAAGCAGCTGGGTCCAAAATGTTCAACAAATACAGAAAAAATGTGGTCAGAGTTAGACCAACCAACCATCAACCACCAACCATCAACCAACCACCAACCAACCAACCATCAACCACCAACCAACCATCAACCAACCACCAACCAAACATCAACCAACCACCAACCAAACATCAACCAACCATCAACCAACCAACCATCAACCAACCACCAACCAACCAACCATCAACCACCAACCAACCAACCATCAACCAACCAACCAACCAACCATCAACCACCAACCAACCAACCATCAACCACCAACCAACCAACCATCAACCACCAACCAACCAACCACCAACCATCAACCACCAACCAACCATCAAC